CAGAGCTGTCTGCCTGCTCTCTATCTAGGAGTCTGACTGTTTTGCTTGGTATTTCAGTTTGTTCATTACATTCCACATATGAGTGAAATCAAATTTTCCTTAAGTATGGGCTGGTTGACCTATAGACGGGTTTATTAGATACACTGCCCCTGAGGGTTCTCAGACCCATGGTTGCCATGAGAACCAGGTAGGCTTTTTCTCCCAGGGATGCTGCCCAGAGACTCCTGTTCTTAACTGCTAGGGGAGGGTGTTGGGAGTTATAACATTAGGTCCCTGGTTCCCAAACCCTGCACCGCAGTATATTTTAAATTTTCAAGAGAAAAAGCAGCTCTCGACAGCTGTGAGACATGCAGATCACTGGCCGAGGTAACTCCCCGTGTCAGCCTTGGATCACAACCTGCTCCTTTCAATGGTGCTGCATCTTGGCAAAGCTGGGATTTGGGTGCTGGCTGTGCAGAAAAGCAAGAACCATGTGCCAGTCAGCGGGGCACTAGGAAATGCGGGCGATGGGGTCCGGCTGAGTCTGTGGTTTGAGAACTTGTGCAGTGCCCACCAAGCACACACATTCCATTAGTAAGTAATTCTCGTTATTTAAAATGAAATAAAAACATTATGTGTATTTTTTTAAATAATTACCAAGTTGTCCTGAAATAAATATTTATCCAGCAATTTAGCTCTAACTACTTAGTAGATGGAAGTGCTTGCTATTTCTCTTGGCCTAGGAATGCCATGAGATAATTCTTGAGATGGGAACCGTGAACCCAGAAAGTCTGGGAACTTCTACATTATTAGGTTATTAGCAACTTCCATTTACTTCTTCTCAATATATATATAATTGATTTCAGAGAGGAAGGGAGAGAGAAACATCAATGATGAGAGAGATCAGCTGCCTCCTGCATATCCCACACTGGGGATCAAGCAAACCCAGGCATGTGCCCTGACTGGGAATCGAACCGTGACTTCCTTGTTCATAGGTCGACGCTCAACCACTGAGCAACACACACCCAGCTTTTCTCAGCTCTCAATGCTGAGCTCGGGAATTGATTCTGAACTAAACAGCCCGAGAGTCTGGGAGCTGCAAGGCTGGTAAGCACCTATGGGGATAGAACATACGTAGCGTGTCCCTCTCCGCCCCATCTAACCAGGTTTTCGTGAACAGATACCACTTCGGAATGCGCTGGATGCACATCTTCCTGCTATAAAAACAGAAAAGCAAGCATCCATTTGTGTGCCAAGGTCACGGCTTTATCATCCCGAACTACGAGTGGCCTGAGTGTCCAGCTGGCCCTGCCGGCTCGTTCTTGCCAGAAAGAGAGACCACAGAGCAAGTGTTCTAAGCTATGGTTATTATTGTTGGTCCATAGCCACCCAGCTATTAGCTTATTCGTAAATAACCTGGTTCAGTAAATTGCCTCATGCACTTATCTTTGTGGGGGAAAAACAACTTTGTCTGGGCCGTCCCGCTGGGAAGGAGCACGCTCCGAACTTGGCCTTCTGTGCGGACCTGACGGAGACGGATCTGGACGGGGGAGGCGCTGGCCACACTTGCCCGGAATGTTTTCCAGGCTATTAAGATAGGGCCGTGGACTCCACTCCGTGGCTCATGTGTATCTTGTTGGGATTAATTTCAAACCGTTACCTGGGAAGGATCTTGGCCCCATTTCCTGTGTTCCCATCTGAGGGGAGATTGGATGGAAAAGCATGAATCCCCACTAACCTTTAGCTTCCATACGGTGTTAAGGCTCCGTTTTCTGTTAATGTTTGGGAGTCTATTTTCAACAGGCAGCATCACCCCCAGGGCTATGGCCCCTCCTTTCCTGCCAGGAGCCGGTCCAAGGTCACCTCTCCAAGAAAGGTTGTTTCCCCAGGTAGGGATTTTCCCCTGAAGTTAGGGAGGGAATGAAACCTCTTAACTAAGTGCCAGGCGGGTAATTAATCACTTTAACTACAAACAATCATGCTTAAGCTACATAATCTTTACTCCCTGGAATGGAGATAAGAAATGCCCTAACCTTTGGAATCCATGATATGACTATAGAGGCATGCTTATAGGATCAAATGGTATAAATACAGATGTAACAAGACAATAAAGAGAACCTATGCTGATCAACTGAACATTGTTTCCGTGTTATTCCTTCTTCACTGACTCCGTCCACACCTTTGGGGACCCCTGGACCTGCTGGGGTTGGACCCCAGCACTTTCCCTCTGCCTAGACCAGGGGTTCTCAACCTTCCTAATGCCTCGACCCTTTAACACAGTTCCTCATGTTGTGATGACCCCCAACCATAAAATTATTTTCGTTGCTACTGCTTAACTGTAATTTTGCTACTGTTATGAATCGTAATGTAAATATCTGATATGCAGGATGTATTTTCATTGTTACAAGTTGAACATAATTAAAGCATAGTGATTAATCACAAAAACAATATGTAATTCTATATGTGTTTTCCGATGGTCTTAGGCGACCCCTGTGAAAGGGTCGTTCGACCCCCAAAGGGGTCGCGACCCACAGGTTGGGAACCGTTGGCCTAGATTCTCTTCACTGAGCTATTACCATGACTGGCCCCTGTAGTCATTCTTTCAGCAAATATTTATTGAGTACCTACTATGTGCCAAGCACTATTCTGGGTGTTCAGGTTATGGGAGGGAATGGTGACAATTAATAATAGTTATCACTTATCAAGTGCTTGTGATGAATTAAGTGTTCTGATAAACCATTTATATGTATTATCTCATTTAACATTCAACAGCAATCCAATGTTCAACACTAACCCAGCAAGTTATCCACATTTGATATGGAGTAGCTACTTTGCATCAACAAGTTTCCACATTTTTCTGATAAGGAAAGTGAGAAGCGCAGCCAGCATGGCTCAGTGGTTGAGCATCGACCTATGAACCAGGAGATCACAGTTTGATTCCTGGTCAAGGCACATGCCTGCCTGGGTTGCGGGCTCAATCCCCCATGCAGGGTGTGCAGGAGGCAGCCAATCAATGATTCTCTCTCATCATTGATGTTTCTCTCTTTTCCTCTCTGAAATCAATAAAAATATTTTTTTAAAAAAAAAAGGAAAGTGAGACACAGAGAGGCTAAGTAACTTCCCCCAGGTCACACAGCCAGTACCTGGGGAGCTGGGATTTGAGTTTGCATCATTAAACACTCCGTGTGCCCTAGCTGGTTTGGCTCAGTGGCTAGAGCGTCAGCCTGTGGACTGAAAGGTCCCGGGTTCGATTCCGGTCAAGGGCACATGCCTGGGTTGCGGGCTCGATCCCCAGTAGGGGGCATGCAGGAGGCAGCCAGTCAATGATTCTCTCTCATCATGTGATGTTTCCATCTCTCTCTCCCTCTCCCTGCCTCCCTGAAATCAATAAAAATGTATTTTAAAAAATAAATAAATAAAAATAAACACTCTGTGAAGTGTTTTTCTAGCAAGACACGGGAGGTCCCTGATCCTATTGGCTTACATTTCAGTGGAGGAGAGAGGGAGTATACACATGAACAGCAATTTCAGAAAAAGAGTAATAATAATGAACCAGGGTAATTCAGAAGAGCCTTCCCAGAGTGGACAGGGGAGAGTAACTACTTCACATCAATAGTTGGAAAAGCCTCCACTAAGGGGTCATCTGGGTAGAGACCTGAGAAGAGCGGCCATGGGGAGGCATTCGGGAAAATGGTTCCAAGCGGAAGGAATCGCAGGTACAAAGGCATGGAGGCAGGGCCAAGTTGGCTGAGCGTAGAAGATGACCAGGAACCACGGGATCCAGCCCGTGCTTTTCAACCTGGGCTGCACACAGCTGCCTGGGGGGGCTTCCAAAAACGCTGACGCCTTGGTCCACACCCAGGGATTCCGGGGAAATCAGCCTGCGGCTTTTGGCTGGGGCGAGGTGGACTTTAAAAGGAGAGGGTTGCCGTGGTCCAATGAGGGATGTGGGTGGCTTGGACCCGTGGAGGTGGCAGCATCTCTCTTTCAGCCCCTGCTCCCTCCGCACAGGATTGTAAATGGCTCCGGGCTGGCCCCTCTCCCTCACAGCCCACCCGTGGTCCACAGGAAGCACTCACATCCTTGGCCTGGAGATCCCGAAGGCTGAGATGCTTGGCTGCCCGTGGCCTGAGAGGGGTTCGGCTCCAAGGTACCACGCTGTGTTCCTGGCCTCAGGGCACAGTGTGAGTGTCTCCATCAGGCCTTTGGCCTTAGCAGAGCTGGCCTTGTCCAGTGCGTGGGTGCTCACACACACACACACACACACACACGCACGCGCACGCACGCACTGCCTGCATACGCAAGCATCACATACGACACACCACACATATAATACATAACACACATTGCATATACACACCACAAACTACACACACAGGTCCTCACACACAGAATCCACATGGGCACACCCTCCGCACACACATACACTCCCTGCTCTCTAACTGGTCTCTCTCTATCCCCTATCACACCCCTCCATTCAACCCTCTATACAACTGCTTGATGATTTCTCTAAAACACAAATTAGGCTACTTTTTAGCTTAAACTCCTCCCAGGGCCTTTCCAGAACCTTCGGACTGAAAATTCTAGCCCCTTACTAAGCTGTTCAGGCCGTCTATAGTCTGTTTTCTGAGGACCCCCTTCAGCTGTCCCCCACCTTCCTGCCTCATCGGCCAGTCTGATCCCATTGCCCACCCCTCCTCCCCTCCCCATGCAGCTCCTTCTGCCTCCGCTTTGCCCTTCCTCGGGCCTCTCAGAGCATCCCTGCTGGGTAGTCCATCTGAAGTCACATTCATCCTTCCCAACCCTGCCCAGCTACCTCTTCTGTGAAGATTCCCTTGACTCCCCAGGGAGTTCCCTCCCTCTTCTGCAGGTGCAGGGGGATGACTGGTTCCCGTGTCTGTATCCCCTGCCAGGTAGGTGACCTCCTCAAGGTCACTCTGTATGGAGCACTGGGTCCTGGCGTCGGGTAGGTGCTCGCGAACGCGGGTGGCTGGCACTCACCTTCTCGCCCTCCCACACAGATCAAAGTGGAAAACCAGCATGACTACCAGGACATCACCAGCATGGTGGCGATGGCCAGAACCTACGCCACCACCGAGGCCTTCATCGACTCCAAGTACGACATTCGCATCCAGAAAATCGGATCCAACTACAAGGCTTACATGTGAGTCCCTGGGGAGGGGGGCGGGGGGGCGAGTCTGGAAGGAGGGAGGAAGAGAGTGGGGAGAAACAGAGATTAGTGATGCATGTCCAACCCTGTCTCCCCCGCCCCAGGAGAAGGCCCCATCTGCACATAACTTTTCCCCTTTCCACCTTTTTTATGACCTTCTCTGGTCTGTAAGCTGAGGGCTGACGGTCCACCCTGGCTTATCCCAGGGTGAAAGTCTGTCTGCCCAAACAAGGGCTGTCCCCCAGAGGAAGGAAGACACGGGCATGTTTGGGGAACTTCAGGTACATTCAGATTGTGTGTCATAGGAGATGAGACGGAGAGAAACTTGAGGACAGATCAAGCAGGGCCTCAAACGCCTCGCTTAGGTTGTGGATTTTCCTCTGTTCTCTGCCATTCAGAGACGTGGCATGGTCTGACCTGAATTAATAAAAAGGTGGCTCTGGGCCCTCGGGCTGCAAAGGGGATTCCCTGGAGCCACTAAGACCAGTTAGGAGACCATGTCAGGATTCTCTGGCTGCAGGCAACAGAAGCCACACTTGACTAATTTGATGGAGCTTTTTAAAGGGATTTATGAGAAAAACATGGACATTCAGAAACTTAAAACAAATTAACAAAGTCACTCAGTTATCAGTTTCAGAAATATGAAGGTCCAGGGCAGCCCAGGGATCTGGGTAGCCAGAAGCAATAGACAATCTCCATGGCACCCCGACTGGGAAGCGAATGTCCCCGAATCACCTCAGGACTTTATTGAGATTGTGGTTCCACAGAAACAACGCTGATTGGTCCAACTTCGGCCACAGGCTTGTGGTCAGAAAAAGTCAGAAAAGCAGCATGGAGAGTCCACCAAGACGGCATGCGACAGGCACGGGGGCATTCTCCAGTGGAAATAGGGAAAAGGAGGGGGCAAGCGACAGGAAATCCAGCACATTCCCCAGGGGAGGCTCCGGCAGAGGGTGACTCGCTAGGAGCCGAGGTGGGAGGGCCCATCTTCAGAGCATCTCTTCTGCTCGAGCCTCTCTGTCTCTCACTTTGGAATGTTGTTGGTTCCACCTGAAATGATGAGACCCCAGAGAGCCACCTGATGCCCACGTGCCACGCCCTACGGAGCCCTGGCTGTGTGAACGGCGCCATGCAGAGGGCTGCAGGGGCCGGCGAGGGCAGCTAGAAGTCTCTATGTGCTTCTGCACGGTGCAGTTTGTGCTCTAGGTCAGGGTCAGCAGACCACAGCGCACAGGCCAAATCCAGCTGTCACTTGTTTCTGTAAATAAACTTTTACTCATCATGCCCGGCCAGCATGGCTCAGTGGTTGAGTGTTGACCTATGAACCAGCAGGTCACGGTTTGTTTCCCGGTCAGGGCACATGCCGGGGTTGCAGGCTCGATTCCCAGTGTGGGGCATGCAGAAGGCAACCAATCAATAATTCTCTCTCATCATTGATGTTTCTTTCTCTCTCCCGCTCCCTTCCTCTCTGAAATTAATGAAAGTATTTTCTTTTAAATAAAGTTTTACCCGTCACAGCCATGCATGCCCATCGATGCATGGTCTACGGCTGCTTTTGTACCACCTGGATTGCCTACACCGAGGGTCAGCACATTGCTCTGCAAAGGCCCGGATGGTAACTGTGGGCCTTGCAGGCCATGCAGTCTCTGCCATTGTCTGGGAAGCTGGAGAAGGTGCAGGCAGTTGACCTATTTCCTCCAAAGAGATGGAGCCCGTTCCCAAGGAACACCTCGGCCCTGTCCCGCCAGTCAGGCTCTTGCACCCAGGAGCCAGGCCAGACCTGTGGCGGCTCTCTGATGCCCTCGGGGTGATGATGTCCCCTCCTCCCTGCGCCCGCTGAGTGAGGGAACATGCTGGTGCCGCAGCCCAGTGCATTCCTGAGGCCTCCGCCGCCCGTCATGGTATCACTTCCCTCCTCTCCTTGCTGTTCGAGTTTCCACTTGACATTGACTGCACCTTGTCCCAGTTCCTCTCCTTGAGGATTACCTCACTGCCGCATTCTTTATGCCGGGCCTTTCTTCCCTGACAGCCCCAATTTGTCATTCATTACGGCGTTTCCTGGACCCTGAGCTGGCCCACATCCCAGGGAGGGGGTTCGTGGCAGACCTCAGGGGAGGACATCCTCTCCGCCCTTGCCCGCTCAGCCTCCTCTCTGGCCCACCTGCCGCCCTGCTCTCGGGCCTTTGCTACTGCAATGTCATTTTTCCAGGCCTCTCCGCAAAGCTAGGAAAGATACGTGTGTACCTTAACCCATTCCTCACATACCGGTGATCATTTCTATAACATTATCCGTCTGTGTCTAAAGCTAAATGGAGTTCACATTGGTGCCTCCGGCTTCCATCTAGTCCCACAGGGTTCATTTGGCCTTCCCAGATTGCTTATCCAAACGTCCCACTCCAGCAGGGAGTCCCGGCTCCCACCATCCACCATCTCTGTGCTTACGTGCAAATCCCACTCTACATGCACTTTGCAGTACCAGTGCCCCACATACCTATAAGAAACACGTTACCAATTGTGATATAGGGCTTCGTACAGTCCCTTTCGTACTGACTTGCCATCTCTACTCATTGCCAAGGTGACTTAGGTCAGCTCCTCCATCCCCGACCCCACCTTCCTCCATGAGGGGGTCAGCGTCATACATTTGCAACCTGGACAGACAGACCTTTTTGTCACAGTCTAGGCTCCATCGTGCACGCCAGTAGCTGGATCACATTAGGGCCAACTGTCTCTTTCCCCCAAGCCTGCCATGGGCTCTGCAGGGGCGAATCGTAGTTCAGAGCATGGAATTTCTCAGATATGGTTTGGTGGCTCTGCCACTAAGTGGGAATGATGATAAAATAATATCCGTCTTGTTAGGTTCCGTGAGGCTGAAAGAAGCCAGTGCTTATAAAGCCCTTAGACCCGTGTCTCACACATAGAAAGCACTCATTAAATATCAACTCTCACCATCATTATCTTCTTGGAAGGAGAGCGGTCTGGCTCTGTTCCTGCTGCCTCTGGCATTTGAATGCCTTCTCTCATTTCCACTCACTGAGAAATCATAGTAGCGCCCATTGTACTAAAAGATTGGGGGGCGAGATTTCCTTTAATCCACACAATACCCTGGAAGGATGGTACTTTAATGATTCCCATTTTACAATGAGATAATAAAGACACGGGGATGCTGACCATAGTTATACAGCTAGAGAATGCAGGGACCAAGGTTCCAACTCACATCCGTCTGACCCGAGTCAGTTCTGCCTCCTCTTACCCCAGGATAGATCCCATGATAGCAATCCCTACTCATCCTCCAGACACATCCCACTGGCTACCTCCTGCGGTCGCAGTAAGAGACTCTGGTTTGGTCGTGGCTTCCCCAGAGCGCCTCTCTCCTTGTGTAGATCGATAGCCCCACCATGCCTAGCCTCTGGTTTCAGACTAGTTCCCCCTCTAGGTAGTGAGCAGCCTGAGGAGGGGTCACCTCTGTACACTCAGACCACTTCCCAGGACACAGGATGGCCCAGTGAGTCTTTGCCAAATTGAATGGAGTTCAGTTGAGCTGAACTGAATGAAACTGAATTGATGTGAACCTTATCGATGTCTTTGTTTATCGATGCCCCCTGGTCATTATGACTCCCATTGGCCGCCATCTAGTCTCTTCCGTACTCTTTTCTCATTTAGGACATATTTTGTAGCAATTCCACCCCCACCACCACCCCCCACCATCACCCTTTAATCCCCACCACCTACCTGCCCTTGGCCATAAAACAAATAGCTTTACCTCTGCCACTTTGTTTATAGCCATTCCGTCTTTGCTGAGTGCACATGAACCATTGGACAAGGTTTGTCTGCATTCTGCACACACAGTCCCTTCCTCACCGGCTCTGTGCCAGGTCCCACTGGACATCAGGGGACGAGTCAAATGTGTCCCCTGTAAAGCAGTCATTACAGGTGAGAGAGCATTACTAAACACTGGTACAGGTATAGTGCAGGGGGGTCTACTCTTGTTGGGGAAGGTGAGCTGCCAGGAAGTCACATTTCAGGCAAAACTTGAAGGATGAGTAGGACTTAGGGCAGCAAGGATGAGACAAAGACTGGCAAAGAAAAGGAGATGTGTGGAGGCCTGGACGTAAGAAAGAGCCATGGGCATGGGAGCACCCAAAGGGAGGTCAGTTGTTGCCAGGCAGAAAAGACAAGGGAACTGAGAGGGTGATGAGGCCAGAGGCCCTCCTGGTCTTCACGATGAAAAAGTAATCACTCCTCTCCATGGGTCGTTTTCCCTATGTTTGGGAGCTGTGAGAAAATCCCAGAATCCCCAGGGGTTTTGCTGGCCTAGTTCTCAAAAAAAGAGGCCAAAGTTTGGGGGATTTCATTAGATTGTGTAGACATTTTTTAAATTTAATTTTTAAACTTCAAAGGTGGCTTTGGAAAAGATACTAAGATCCAAGAAATACCCAAAATGCCAAGATTGTGAGTTTGATCCCCTCTCAGGGCACATACAAGAATCAACCAGTGAATGTACAAATAAGTAGAATAACAAATCTATGTCTCTCTCTCTCTCTCTCTCTCTCTCTCTCTCTCTCTCTTTCTCTCTCTCTCTCTTTAAAAAAGGATCAATTAAAATTATTTTTTAAAAGATCCAAGAAATAAAGCAATCCACATAAAAGATAAAGCTGAGGACAGCATGTGTCCCTAAGAATACATTTCATAATGAGAGCCTCCTGACAGCCAAAGCAAAGACGGAAAGCAGATCAGGGGAGCATGTCCCTAACGCCCTCACTGTGTTATTTGTTCTGATACAGGAGAACCTCCATCTCTGGCAACTGGAAGGCCAACACAGGCTCTGCCATGCTGGAGCAGGTGGCCATGACAGAGAGGTGAGAAAGGGGGAAGCCGCAGCCGTGGCGGGAGATGGGTGAGGAATACAACAGCAAGCTGAGGCTGCAAGGGGGAAAGGCTCACCCAAAATGATAGAGGGAACTGACAGCAAGAATTCAGGTGATTCACCTGGCCGGTGTGGCTCAGTGGTTGAACGTCAACCCATGAACCAGAAGGTCACATGCCTGGGTTACTGGTTTGATCCCCAGTGGGGGGCGTGCAGGAGGCAATGGATCGATGATTCTCTCTCATTGATGTTCCTAACTCCTCCCTTCCTCTCTCTGAAATAAATAAAATTAAAAATTAAAAAGAAGCGTCCA